GTTCAGTTTGTTGTATCTCGCTTTCATTATCGAATTCTTCTTTTCTGTACATTTAAACCACCACCCTTCACTCATACATTTCCACTCACTCAATTCTCCTAAATTATGCGAACTCATCAAATCTTGTTTATTTATTACGCAACCCATCTTACCAGCTTTTCAATTCTAGGAATCTTGTACAAACCCTTCATTACCTCTGAAATCATCACACAACTCATCTTATCTGTCTCTGAACTTCACTCAGTTATTACATCATCCACCCCTCACATTTCTTGATTCTAACACTGAGTGACCTCCGACCTGTTCTCTTACACACATATATATAGTTATTATTGATAACCTTTGTTATTCCAATTCTTCACATTCACTTATGTCAATTGTTTCACACTATATCTTACATCAATGTGAAATTTTAATACATATTTGGTTGTAATCGGCTGATGAGAAACCACGAAATATAACGAATTCATATTATTCTGCAACCATGTTCGTTCTGGGATTATTTAAATTCATGAGGGGAACTAATTGTATGAAATTATTGATAACTGTCGACCTCCAGAAACTTCAGGAGGTATACTAAATTTGGTAATTGAGCAAGTAAACATCCTAACAGAGTTCGACACATAACCCGTCAATATTCTAAGCTTTTGTGAAGTATGTTAATTGGAAAAATGTTCTTATTCTCTTACTGGTTCCTGAAAGACTGATGGATAAGTTCTCGTAAAGATCTCAACAACTACCATTAAAATTTTATTTATCATGTAATATTTCACATATTACTGTCTGTTCTCATTACAATGAGAAATAAAAAGTAATTATTATCCAAACTAATTAATTATGATTTAAATGGAGTTTTGTTCCATGAGCTGGATGGTTTGGTCATGGAGCCTTCAGCGTTATTCTGAACGGCACCATCAGCACAAAATCCACGATCAAACCATCCAGCTCAGAGAACAATACTCCATCAAAATCTTCCATCTGAGCTACAAATCTTCTCCACCATCTCATTTGAATATTTTCTCAAAATGATATTATTCTTTTTAATTAACGGTGTACACTAAAAGAACATACCTGATCTGAATAACATTATTGTCGTGTAACGTATTTTATATAATACACACATACTCGTATACAATGAAAAACAACATAAAGTGGTATGAAATACTGGAGATGGCATCAGTAAGAAAAGAATTACTAGTTTCAATTCCCATAGTTAGAGAACAAAACTGAACTGGTTTGAGGATAAACAGGATAGACTAATGGGATTATAAGAAATTGTTGTTCAGATGTACTAAATTGTCGGACGGTGATAGCTTCTACAAACCTAGTAATATCCTAATTGGCAATTCCTATTATAAAGATTTTTTCAAGTTATTTCTAAGGTCAATCATATGACCTGATATAACTAGAAACAAATAAACAATAGTAACAATATAGAATCCTCATAATAACGACAATAATAATATTCATTGCTATTATTATTATTATTATTATTATTATTATTATTATTATTATTATTATTATTATTATTCAGGATGCAATAGATTAATATTCATTGCATGTAACTGGATCAATTAAATTTGTAGTAGTATGAGAGTATTGTATCAATACCTGTGCCATTGTGTTAGTGGTGTGAGACAGTAAAAGATCATAATTTATTGATGAAAAAGTCCTATACTTAATTTATCCTTAGCTTGTCAATCGGATTCATAGAGAAGCAATGATAATGACTACAAGTTATTTATTTATTTACTTGAGTATGCCTACACTGCAAATACTAATGCACTGTCATATGCAAGCAAACGATTTGATGTAACTTGTTTATCAAGTGTAGATTGGTAAACGTTATTTCTGCATCGCCTATTAATTTATACGGCGAAAATGAGGAACCAATGCAATTTCTACGACACCAAATAACATCACACAACACTGATACAAGTGGAGATTTATTCACCCCAAAATCACAACGATAATTCTAGTCGAATATACACTCATTTATATAATCATTTGTACACCCATCAGATTAGTAATTAGGGAAAAGTCACATGTATGGAAACTATTCAGAATCATAAGAAATCACATGTTGCATATCATGCTGAACACATGATACATGCAAACGAAGAATAAATGAATGGTGACTACTGGGAATTATATATGAGTTATCATTACATATATTCTTATTGGACAATTGTTAAGTGACTAGGGCATATATATATATAGATATATATTACTTTTATCATAAGCTTTCATTTGATCTACTCACTACTGTTATATGATTTACCATTCTTAATTTATCCCAAATCTATTAATTACAGTCTCCTGTAGTCACAGTTTTATTCTAGATTTATTCGTAACTCCAATGGAGCTAGGTGTGGTTCTACAGCAGATCGGAAAACGTTTTATCTCGAGATAGTTAAGCAGTAGTGAAGAAAGATATTCTCAGACTCAAAGGAATGCTTTAACTGTGGTATAGATGGTGAAAATACAATCCCCCACCGTGGTCCAGAAGTAAATTTAGAGTTGAGTGCTAATCATTTCACTACTGAACACTGTATCGGAAATCGGATAGATGTAGTTCTTGTTTACATAAGCTGTCGCACAATAAACCTTTTTCGAGTCCTCACCTGAATCGTAGGAACGTATGCAAGCCGATTACTGTAGCCTATTTTTAAACTCATATTGTACTTTATTTATGATCGGTTCATATTCTAAATTACCCGGAGTGGTACTCACAAACACTCCCAGCGGATACTTAACTCAAAGAGCAATCATGAAGATATTTAGTAGATAAGGTATATCCAATGTATTAGTAACTGATAATTGAACCCAGTTCATAGGAAAAGAGTTTAACAAATGACTTATTCAAATTGGATGCCGTCATCTATTCACAGCTCCACAAAAACCTCAATCTCATGGTTTAACAGACCAGTTCGTTTGAACTCTTCAGGCTTCTATCACATCAGTGAATCCAAGTAATATCAAAGAGGTAGAAAAACGCACCAGCGATTTCGTTTTCCAATATCGTGATGAAGAAGATTCAAGAACTTCAGCCAAACTCTTTAAACACCGCAAACATAGAACTCACTTAGTGAATGGAACATCATCATAGGTAACGTTCAACCGAATAACTGACTAGTGACCAACAACAGGAACTGTAATTTAGAGAGTGGTGAGTAGGACAGTTAAGATTCTTGACTTGAACGACCTTTCGTTCGATCATTTCAAATTCGTCAGTTACTTACTCACGAATGTTGCCCCTCCTGGAGCATGGGTCGCTGACAGAGGTTCGCCAACCATTTCTGTCCCGCATTTTCCTTTGCAGTTGTTTCCAAGTGCTATTCATTCCTTTGATGACTGGCTGCGATTCTCGGCACAATGTGTCCACCGGACCACCTCTTATCCATTAGCCTTCAGAATTTCAAGTTTCTGCAGTGTATATTCTACCCAACTTCAGCGTCTTTTTCTCATTTCCTCCTCATCCGGAATTTGGTTTGTTCTCCGCCACAGTAGGTTGTTGTTGATGACATTCAGTCAACAGATATTGAGTAACTACGCTTGTAGCCCGTTTAGGCTTACTACCGACCTGAAGCCCGGATAAAGAAGAAGAGTTGGGGATAGGGTTCGCAACATCACCCCATAGAAAATAACCACTATAGACAAGCTAACCAGAGAAATCACTTTCAAATTCACAGGTAGATCTCAGTGGCTTCTCTGATAGGATCTGAGCTAGACTACATAGTGATATCATTTTACTATGCTGATTAGTAGGCATCTATTAAGTATTTCATCAGTCAAAAGAGGTATGTTCAAAAGGAACCTTAATTATATTGAACTTTACATGAATAATTTATTGCATATTATTTAACACAAACATCTGAAAATATCTTTGGATCATGAGGACAATCAACATATTTCTAGCAAGAACTAATTCACAAAAAATGAAGATACTTCGAAATACAATATGAGATGAATTGAAAGGAGCGAATAACTGGAGCGCTTCTCAGAAGGTTAAATACCTTCCACGATACCTCAAAATCATGTTATAATCTTTTTGATAAGACTTCACGTGTTACAACTTTTGACCTGTAGGAACCTATTTTGTTTGTTTGTACTGGTTTCAATATTTGGTGCTGATTAACTTGATTTCCGTCTCTCACATAACGGTTATGAACATGATAGCTGTACAATCACAAGATGAAAGCGGAGTTGATACTTTCTCATCATAGAAAAACTTCTACCCCTCCATGTTGATCGCAAGCATAAAATACCATTATTCACTGAGGCTCTATGATAATCTGGAAATGGCAAAAGAGCGCTAAAACCCACGAAGAAATGATCTAATGGTTGAGCCAACAAAAGCTTCTGTCAGACCCATTCAAAGAAACAACTTCGGTTAATCTCATAATAAATAGGTTATAAGTATGGAGTTTGAATCCCTTGTAGAGTGGTATTTTAGTGATCGTAGCGTCCGACTTCCAGCTACTCAACCGCAGGTTCAAAGTCCTCTTTAAATACTTTGTTTAAACGATTGAGGATTATGGTTGGACATCGCGCTTACATGGTGGCTCACACTCAAGCACTTGGGGAATGAGTTGAGAAGTGGCAGTTAAGAACAGACGACAGTATAGATCTATGTTAAAATGACAATTTACTGAATTCAAACTTTTATTGGTCTTTACTGCAATGTTATTCTGTGATAGAGAAATAATCTTGAACTTTAATTAACCATTATAAACAAAAGTCAAAATTCAATTGGTCAATATAATACTCAAAATCAATTGGTTCAGTGTCTCAATCAAAATGTTAACTAGATAATAAGCACCTGATTCTTCAACGTTTATTTTTGTTATTGTTACCGTTGTTACCATTGTGTTTTATAAACACAAGGATTGTATAATCGAATGTTTATCAACAAGAAATCATCGTTCAGAATCTACTATGCAATTCTGAAAGCAATCGGATTAACACTTTCTATAATTTTCATATTACATATATATTTCATGCGTACAACTGTCAAATATGTTACCCTACGAAATCACTCTGAAGAAGCAATTATTGTACCCAATATGGCACATATTAACTGCAAACGCACATGTCGTACTATTTGTAAGAATATTGACAGTATTCCATCGAGTAAGGTGAGTGCATTGAAACCAATTGGGAAAATGCCATTCAATGGTGAATTCAATGAAGAGGTGAACCCAATCAACGACACATTTTATTCACATGATCTTGGTGGCGGTTGGATGTTTAAGGAGGAGAAGACGAATTGCAACAATGTTCCACAATCCGGTGTAGCAATCATCATTGTTTGTAGAGATAGATGGAAACAACTGAATAATACATTGTCCGCTCTGATTCCAGTTCTCCAGAGACAACATTTGTGTTATTAAATATTTGTTATTGAACAACAGGGTACTGGTATTTTGAACAAAGCTCAGTTGATGAACATTGGTTTTATTGAAGCACGTAAACGTTTCGATTTCGACTGTGTTATATTTCATGATGCCGACTTAATACCATTGGATGATAGAATACCACATGGTTGTGATGAAGAGATGATGGAGAGTGTGGTTCATTTGAGTGTTGGAGTGAGTTCATGGAATTATGTTTTACCTTACCAATCATTGATCGGTGGTGTTTTGAAAATATCGACTTCACACTTTATACAAGTTAATGGTTATTCGAATAGTTATTGGGGTTGGGGTGGAGAGGACGATGATTTGGAGAGGCGACTGAAAGCATCAAAAATTATGTATAAACACATTGAAACGTCAATAGGCAGATATCTGGCTCAACCTCACACTAAACAGGTTCGAGCGAATAGACGTTTAGTACTTGATTCATTAAAAAATGCTGCCAGTCGTATGTTCACTGATGGATTGAATTCTGTAAAATATAAAGTTTCAGCCTATTCTGAGAAGCAACACTACACACATTTTTTAATTACATTAAAATAAGTTTTTTTAAGATTCAATTGCCTGTTTTTCTTACCCTTAAATATTGTATAACCTAGTTCTTTACACTGTGAGACAAAACTATTTTTATATTGAATGATACTTTCATTTAAGTATAGAGGTAATCAAGAAAGAAAACACTGATGTATTCTCAAGTTCAACATTGTTATATACACAGTCAAATCTGTATAATATTCACAAATGCACAGAAAATTACATCCATATGTAGATAACTTAGTATCATTGATGGATCGAATAAAAGAATTTCTATTCGCTATTCATCATAGCGATTTGTACATCATTTACTTCTGTTGTCTATGTGTTTAGTTTTCGGTATGTACTTTCAAACAATATTTCAATTAATTACTTAACCATCTTTTGAAACATTTAATAATATATCTATACCCTAGTTACTTAACAATTGTCCAATAAGAATATATGTAATGATAACTCATATATAATTCCCAGTAGTCACCATTCATTTATTCTTCGTTTGCATGTATCATGTGTTCAGCATGATATGCAACATGTGATTTCTTATGATTCTGAATAGTTTCCATACATGTGACTTTTCCCTAATTACTAATCTGATGGGTGTACAAATGATTATATAAATGAGTGTATATTCGACTAGAATTATCGTTGTGATTTTGGGGTGAATAAATCTCCACTTGTATCAGTGTTGTGTGATGTTATTTGGTGTCGTAGAAATTGCATTGGTTCCTCATTTTCGCCGTATAAATTAATAGGCGATGCAGAAATAACGTTTACCAATCTACACTTGATAAACAAGTTACATCAAATCGTTTGCTTGCATATGACAGTGCATTAGTATTTGCAGTGTAGGCATACTCAAGTAAATAAATAAATAACTTGTAGTCATTATCATTGCTTCTCTATGAATCCGATTGACAAGCTAAGGATAAATTAAGTATAGGACTTTTTCATCAATAAATTATGATCTTTTACTGTCTCACACCACTAACACAATGGCACAGGTATTGATACAATACTCTCATACTACTACAAATTTAATTGATCCAGTTACATGCAATGAATATTAATCTATTGCATCCTGAATAATAATAATAATAATAATAATAATAATAATAAAGAGCCGTTGAAGCATTTACATAAAATTTTGTCTACTATGAGGGCTACCTCGTTAAGTGGTGAGTCCTTGAGCAGTGCCGTCACAGTAGGTTGGATATGAGCTGGTAGTGACTCGAGCCACAATTCCTTAACTATTTCCGAATTAGATGCTGTTGGTCCTGCAAGAGATTGCAGGCGCGTGAGGTGGTGGCTTGGTTTAGCATCACCCAGGGGGTGGCGTGCTACCAATGTCCTCAATCGTTCCTCCCTCGATGGGAGGAAATGTCGGAGAAATGCCTCTTTGAGGCGATCATAAACATAAAGCACGTTAGAATTGAGGACAACCTCACGAACAGCTACTAAGTGGTCCCCGTGAAATGATTCGAGAGCGAAGGCGTACTTTTACCTGTGGCTCGTAATTTGACGAGTCTCAAACTGGGACTCTAATGCAGCAAACCAAACCTCTGGGTCGTGGGGAATGAATGATACAGGTCGAAAGTGAACGGCCTGTACGTCTGAGTCTATAACATTATTAGTAATCTTGTCGCTATCCGTCATGTCGTGTATATTATATATTAAAAATTAATATGAAAATATACGACAGACTTGGATAGATAAACTATAGACTCACCGAATTGGCTTCTTTGGAAGATTTCACCAGAGGTTGGGGCGTGCTCCAGAACGAACATGGATGCAGAATAATATGAACTCATCACATTTCGTATTATCTCATCAATCGATTAAAACCAAATATGTATTAAAATTTTACATTGCTGTGGAAAAGAAAACCTGGTGTGAGACAGTAAAAGATCATAATTTATTGATGAAAAAGTCCTATACTTAATTTATCCTTAGCTTGTCAATCGGATTCATAGAGAAGCAATGATAATGACTACAAGTTATTTATTTATTTACTTGAGTATGCCTACACTGCAAATACTAATGCACTGTCATATGCAAGCAAACGATTTGATGTAACTTGTTTATCAAGTGTAGATTGGTAAACGTTATTTCTGCATCGCCTATTAATTTATACGGCGAAAATGAGGAACCAATGCAATTTCTACGACACCAAATAACATCACACAACACTGATACAAGTGGAGATTTATTCACCCCAAAATCACAACGATAATTCTAGTCGAATATACACTCATTTATATAATCATTTGTACACCCATCAGATTAGTAATTAGGGAAAAGTCACATGTATGGAAACTATTCAGAATCATAAGAAATCACATGTTGCATATCATGCTGAACACATGATACATGCAAACGAAGAATAAATGAATGGTGACTACTGGGAATTATATATGAGTTATCATTACATATATTCTTATTGGACAATTGTTAAGTAACTAGGGTATAGATATATTATTAAATGTTTCAAAAGATGGTTAAGTAATTAATTGAAATATTGTTTGAAAGTACATACCGAAAACTAAACACATAGACAACAGAAGTAAATGATGTACAAATCGCTATGATGAATAGCGAATAGAAATTCTTTTATTCGATCCATCAATGATACTAAGTTATCTACATATGGATGTAATTTTCTGTGCATTTGTGAATATTATACAGATTTGACTGTGTATATAACAATGTTGAACTTGAGAATACATCAGTGTTTTCTTTCTTGATTACCTCTATACTTAAATGAAAGTATCATTCAATATAAAAATAGTTTTGTCTCACAGTGTAAAGAACTAGGTTATACAATATTTAAGGGTAAGAAAAACAGGCAATTGAATCTTAAAAAAACTTATTTTAATGTAATTAAAAAATGTGTGTAGTGTTGCTTCTCAGAATAGGCTGAAACTTTATATTTTACAGAATTCAATCCATCAGTGAACATACGACTGGCAGCATTTTTTAATGAATCAAGTACTAAACGTCTATTCGCTCGAACCTGTTTAGTGTGAGGTTGAGCCAGATATCTGCCTATTGACGTTTCAATGTGTTTATACATAATTTTTGATGCTTTCAGTCGCCTCTCCAAATCATCGTCCTCTCCACCCCAACCCCAATAACTATTCGAATAACCATTAACTTGTATAAAGTGTGAAGTCGATATTTTCAAAACACCACCGATCAATGATTGGTAAGGTAAAACATAATTCCATGAACTCACTCCAACACTCAAATGAACCACACTCTCCATCATCTCTTCATCACAACCATGTGGTATTCTATCATCCAATGGTATTAAGTCGGCATCATGAAATATAACACAGTCGAAATCGAAACGTTTACGTGCTTCAATAAAACCAATGTTCATCAACTGAGCTTTGTTCAAAATACCAGTACCCTGTTGTTCAATAACAAATATTTAATAACACAAATGTTGTCTCTGGAGAACTGGAATCAGAGCGGACAATGTATTATTCAGTTGTTTCCATCTATCTCTACAAACAATGATGATTGCTACACCGGATTGTGGAACATTGTTGCAATTCGTCGTCTCCTCCTTAAACATCCAACCGCCACCAAGATCATGTGAATAAAATGTGTCGTTGATTGGGTTCACCTCTTCATTGAATTCACCATTGAATGGCATTTTCCCAATTGGTTTCAATGCACTCACCTTACTCGATGGAATACTGTCAATATTCTTACAAATAGTACGACATGTGCGTTTGCAGTTAATATGTGCCATATTGGGTACAATAATTGCTTCTTCAGAGTAATTTCGTAGGGTAACATATTTGACAGTTGTACGCATGAAATATATATGTAATATGAAAATTATAGAAAGTGTTAATCCGATTGCTTTCAGAATTGCATAGTAGATTCTGAACGATGATTTCTTGTTGATAAACATTTGATTATACAATCCTTGTGTTTATAAAACACAATGGTAACAACGGTAACAATAACAAAAATAAACGTTGAAGAATCAGGTGCTTATTATCTAGTTAACATTTTGATTGAGACACTGAACCAATTGATTTTGAGTATTATATTGACCAATTGAATTTTGACTTTTGTTTATAATGGTTAATTAAAGTTCAAGATTATTTCTCTATCACAGAATAACATTGCAGTAAAGACCAATAAAAGTTTGAATTCAGTAAATTGTCATTTTAACATAGATCTATACTGTCGTCTGTTCTTAACTGCCACTTCTCAACTCATTCCCCAAGTGCTTGAGTGTGAGCCACCATGTAAGCGCGATGTCCAACCATAATCCTCAATCGTTTAAACAAAGTATTTAAAGAGGACTTTGAACCTGCGGTTGAGTAGCTGGAAGTCGGACGCTACGATCACTAAAATACCACTCTACAAGGGATTCAAACTCCATACTTATAACCTATTTATTATGAGATTAACCGAAGTTGTTTCTTTGAATGGGTCTGACAGAAGCTTTTGTTGGCTCAACCATTAGATCATTTCTTCGTGGGTTTTAGCGCTCTTTTGCCATTTCCAGATTATCATAGAGCCTCAGTGAATAATGGTATTTTATGCTTGCGATCAACATGGAGGGGTAGAAGTTTTTCTATGATGAGAAAGTATCAACTCCGCTTTCATCTTGTGATTGTACAGCTATCATGTTCATAACCGTTATGTGAGAGACGGAAATCAAGTTAATCAGCACCAAATATTGAAACCAGTACAAACAAACAAAATAGGTTCCTACAGGTCAAAAGTTGTAACACGTGAAGTCTTATCAAAAAGATTATAACATGATTTTGAGGTATCGTGGAAGGTATTTAACCTTCTGAGAAGCGCTCCAGTTATTCGCTCCTTTCAATTCATCTCATATTGTATTTCGAAGTATCTTCATTTTTTGTGAATTAGTTCTTGCTAGAAATATGTTGATTGTCCTCATGATCCAAAGATATTTTCAGATGTTTGTGTTAAATAATATGCAATAAATTATTCATGTAAAGTTCAATATAATTAAGGTTCCTTTTGAACATACCTCTTTTGACTGATGAAATACTTAATAGATGCCTACTAATCAGCATAGTAAAATGATATCACTATGTAGTCTAGCTCAGATCCTATCAGAGAAGCCACTGAGATCTACCTGTGAATTTGAAAGTGATTTCTCTGGTTAGCTTGTCTATAGTGGTTATTTTCTATGGGGTGATGTTGCGAACCCTATCCCCAACTCTTCTTCTTTATCCGGGCTTCAGGTCGGTAGTAAGCCTAAACGGGCTACAAGCGTAGTTACTCAATATCTGTTGACTGAATGTCATCAACAACAACCTACTGTGGCGGAGAACAAACCAAATTCCGGATGAGGAGGAAATGAGAAAAAGACGCTGAAGTTGGGTAGAATATACACTGCAGAAACTTGAAATTCTGAAGGCTAATGGATAAGAGGTGGTCCGGTGGACACATTGTGCCGAGAATCGCAGCCAGTCATCAAAGGAATGAATAGCACTTGGAAACAACTGCAAAGGAAAATGCGGGACAGAAATGGTTGGCGAACCTCTGTCAGCGACCCATGCTCCAGGAGGGGCAACATTCGTGAGTAAGTAACTGACGAATTTGAAATGATCGAACGAAAGGTCGTTCAAGTCAAGAATCTTAACTGTCCTACTCACCACTCTCTAAATTACAGTTCCTGTTGTTGGTCACTAGTCAGTTATTCGGTTGAACGTTACCTATGATGATGTTCCATTCACTAAGTGAGTTCTATGTTTGCGGTGTTTAAAGAGTTTGGCTGAAGTTCTTGAATCTTCTTCATCACGATATTGGAAAACGAAATCGCTGGTGCGTTTTTCTACCTCTTTGATATTACTTGGATTCACTGATGTGATAGAAGCCTGAAGAGTTCAAACGAACTGGTCTGTTAAACCATGAGATTGAGGTTTTTGTGGAGCTGTGAATAGATGACGGCATCCAATTTGAATAAGTCATTTGTTAAACTCTTTTCCTATGAACTGGGTTCAATTATCAGTTACTAATACATTGGATATACCTTATCTACTAAATATCTTCATGATTGCTCTTTGAGTTAAGTATCCGCTGGGAGTGTTTGTGAGTACCACTCCGGGTAATTTAGAATATGAACCGATCATAAATAAAGTACAATATGAGTTTAAAAATAGGCTACAGTAATCGGCTTGCATACGTTCCTACGATTCAGGTGAGGACTCGAAAAAGGTTTATTGTGCGACAGCTTATGTAAACAAGAACTACATCTATCCGATTTCCGATACAGTGTTCAGTAGTGAAATGATTAGCACTCAACTCTAAATTTACTTCTGGACCACGGTGGGGGATTGTATTTTCACCATCTATACCACAGTTAAAGCATTCCTTTGAGTCTGAGAATATCTTTCTTCACTACTGCTTAACTATCTCGAGATAAAACGTTTTCCGATCTGCTGTAGAACCACACCTAGCTCCATTGGAGTTACGAATAAATCTAGAATAAAACTGTGACTACAGGAGACTGTAATTAATAGATTTGGGATAAATTAAGAATGGTAAATCATATAACAGTAGTGAGTAGATCAAATGAAAGCTTATGATAAAAGTAATATATATCTATATATATATATGCCCTAGTCACTTAACAATTGTCCAATAAGAATATATGTAATGATAACTCATATATAATTCCCAGTAGTCACCATTCATTTATTCTTCGTTTGCATGTATCATGTGTTCAGCATGATATGCAACATGTGATTTCTTATGATTCTGAATAGTTTCCATACATGTGACTTTTCCCTAATTACTAATCTGATGGGTGTACAAATGATTATATAAATGAGTGTATTTTCGACTAGAATTATCGTTGTGATTTTGGGGTGAATAAATCTCCACTTGTATCAGTGTTGTGTGTTGTTATTTGGTGTCGTAGGAATGGCAGTGGTCCCTCGTTTTTCCAGAATAATTAATTTGCAATGAGAATTTTACAATTTACTATGGTACTTTAATCTTAATCTGATTCCAATGGTTGCTATCACACAGTACCTTGTAATGTTTTAATGATTCAGACATCCTTAATTCACCTGACACTTGTGTAAATCCAAGAATTGATTACTGAGGTTTATAGAAGTTTGTATTTCACATAATTTACTGAACTATTGAAGTACGTAAACGAATACAATAACAAATAATTAGAAACAGGCAGAAAATAAGTCATCATTCAATAAGCAGATAAACAAATAGAAACCGCACATTCATCAATGCTTGAACGAAATAATTACAGACACATTAAGTAAGACTGATACCAAAGCAACTGAATTATCGAAATTGTTAAACGACACAGGTGAACAAGATGCGGATGTTCCATGGTATAACATGCAAAATCAGATCTCTTTGGTCCTTCCGTCTTGTTAGTCTTTTGATTCAGTTATTTTCAGATTGGTTGTTTAATTGTTTGATTTATTCATTATTCTATATGTAAAACGGTAAATTTGTTAAACTAGGAAATTCAGGTTCATCTGCAACAGGCACATAAACCAACGCTACCCACTGACGGATTTGTAATTCGGAATTTCCACTTGTCATATAACGTTCTTTACGGTTTGGTGATCGCTGTTTACTCCACTATATACATTAGGCCAGAAGAATCCAGCAACCTTGTATTGTATTTGGACAAACTTGTCAGTGTTTGTAAAAACTGGATGTTCCTTCAGTTTGTTGCAGAACTGAATCTATGAATTGGTACTGTTGGCTCTCTTCTCTGCTAGCCCCAGTTACTCTAAAAAAAATCTTGTAGACATTTATTAGGAGACATCAAAAAGTGTTATTTACACAGAAGTTTGTTTATTCAGTGATATATCGATTAAAATCATGATTATTAGTTACAAGAATTATCAACAGACTCTTCAGTTGAACAAAAAGTCTCAGTCAATTTATAAACACAAGCAAAAATGAACTAGAAACATAAATAGGAAACTTATTTTCAGTAAGTTAATACGAAGAAAAATGCACTGAAAATTAATTAAAAATAAGTCATACCAAATGATATAATACTAAAATTAATTAACAAAAATCACCATATACTAAAATGTTTATTTCAAGATTGGTTTTCGCATAATACGTCATATTTAAGGATTTGACATCTCAAACATATTTGTCAGGAAACTCTCTCTAATCACAGTCGTCCTGAATTTAAATGGTAAAGTTGGCGTAGCCAATAGATTAAATTTAGGTAAGTACACCTGATGCTGATGTTGTACGCGCGAAATTGTTCACATCATCTAAATTGCAGCTGGAAATCACGTTGGTATTGCATCTGGTAGAGAGGCTGTAGCTGCAAATTGATGTGTTGCTTTTGTTGATTTAGCTGATCGTTTTTTTATCATTGTG